TCATTGTTTGGCAGGCCTGGGCTGGATTAGAACCTGCCACCTTGGGTGTACGTGGCTGGCGCCTTAGCCACTTGAGCCACAGGCCCTGAGCCAAGTCTGAACACTTTGGATACTTCCCTGCAGCTCTTCTTTACAGAAACTGTATCAGTCCAATAAACTAGAAGTCATCAGTCCCACATGTGCCCTGCATTGCTGCAGGTCTGAACATCTTCACTGGGAAACGAAACATCTCAGACACCTGTCAGGGAGTCAGCCAAGAAAACAGGCAAAGGGTCTGGTCTCACAACTCCCAGACGCTGCTCTTCCCAGAAATAAGAACAAAATAATCACTGTACCTGCAGCTTTTGGCAGGTGTGGGAACTCTTCATCTGTTGAGTGGCAATGTCATACTGTCCCATAGCAAGTACTCCATCAACTTGAGAAGGAATAAATTACTGTCTAGAAACAAACTGTAATTTTTTTTTTTTTGAGACAGAGTCTCAGGCTGTAGCCCTAGAGTAGAATGCCGTGGCGTCACAGCTCATAGCAACCTCAAACTCTTGGGCATAAGTGATTCTTTTGCCTCAGCCTCCCAAGTAGCTGGGACTACAGGCACCGACCATAACACCCAGCTATTTTTTTGTTGTTGCAGTTGTTGTTTTAGCTGGCCCAGGTTGGGTTCAAACCCACCAGCCTTAGTGTACATGGCCAGTGCCCTACCCACTGAGCTACAGGCACCACCTGAAACAAAGTAATTTGAACATACCCCCTTGTATGAACAAAGAACTTGCAGCCTCTTCTGCGTGCCCAGTGCAGTCCCTGCCTGCCCACTGCAGTCTCCCCAGGCCTGCTGGCTCCCCTCTAGGTCTACTGCGGCCCCAGCCTGACTGTTGCAGTCCCCTAAAGCCCACTGCAGCAACCCCCAGGCCCACTGTAGTCCCTGCCTGCCTGTTGCAGTCCCTCTAGGCCCACTACAGCCCCCAAGATCCCCTTAACCCCTATAGTCCCTGAAAGCCAGTATATTCCCTGCCTTCCCCACAGCACTGTGTATTTCAGCTGGCCCAGGTTGGGTTCGAACCCACTAGCCTCAGTGTATATGGGACAATATACAATGTCGGGACTAAGTTTAGGAGATGTAAATCCGAAGAAACATTCAATTCAACTTAAGGTAATGTCAGTCTAAAACTCTTTCTGGTTCTCTTGAGTTTTCAGTTTGTTACCATGGACTGCCTAGTGCACACAAAGGTGGGAGGAGTGGGCAGCCCACATCCCTTTCACTAGGGCATCCCCTATGTGTGTACATGTGGTCACTCTCACCTGTCTGTGTCGTTGACACTCACTGAGAATGCAGTGGTTTTACCAAATTCCCTAGATGCCTGCACCTCCCCAGGTTGAGGGATCCCTCCCAGGACTTGCCAGAAGTTACCACGTCCCCTCACTGAATTGCAGCTCAGTCAGCAGCCACAGGAAGTGCTGCTGCCCTGCACTGACACCTACCTGCTGGTGCTACCTGTGCCTGGGCAGCTGCAGAGCCAGGGGATGGGTGAGCAAACAGGCCTGGCCTCCCTCACGGCTGACTTGGCTCACAGGTAGCTGGGCCAGTCTGGCTCCAAAGCAAGTGCCTGACCCTTGCCTGGACTTTTCCCTCCCACTCTTGGTGGTCCCATGTGCAACCCTATCCAGCTGCAGATTCCACTTGGCTGTGCAAGAAATGAACACAGTCCTCTGGCCAGGCACAGTGGCTCACACCTGTAACCCCAGCACTCAGGAAGGCTGAAGCAGGAGGATCTCTTGAGCTCGGGATTTCAAGACCAGCCTGAGCGAGAGTGAGATTCCATTTCTACTTTTTAAAAATATAAAAATTAGGTGGGCATCATAGTGGATTCTGTAAGCCCCAGCTATTCAGGAAGCTGAGGCAGGAGGATAGCTTGCGCCCAGGAGTCTGAAGTTTCTCTGAGCTAGGTTGATGCCCCAATACTCTAGCCTAGAGCAACAGAGTGAGACTGTCTCAAAAAAAAAAAAAAGAAAAGAAAAGAAAGAAAGAAATGAACACAGCCCTGATGTTACTAGCTGAGCCTGGCCACCAAGAGTGGCACCTCTACATCAGCAGCCCTCAACCTTTCTGATACTAGGGATAATCTTTCCACATGGGGAGGGCGGAATGTGACAGGAAGCAGAGCCCAGGCAGTGAATCTAGCAATAGAGAGTGGCTGTAAACACATGAAGTTTCGCTCACTCACCTGCACTTCCTCCTGTGTAGCCCAGTTCCTAACAAGTCATAGACCATGGCCCAAGGGTTAGACTAAAGTCTACACAATATTATTCCCAAATAGCAAAGTTCTAGGGGC